TTTATCCGGCTTAATATATTTCCCTCGAAAATTATTAATTTTGACACGGTCCCAGAGGATTTCCATGCTGTATGTTGGCCACTCTTTTGTGTGTGCGAATATTATTTGTTTCTTTTGTACGCGCCGACTGTGTAGCTAGAAGTGTGTACTATACTATTGTTTTAGTTCTCTCGTTATTTTCCATTCTTGTCTTTTCGAGCGTGTCGCGGGATTTCGCGTTAAACGCGACCGACAGACCTAGGGAAAAAATTGGGTCTTACTTTTAATCGACTTAAAACCTCCTTGCTATTACACCCACACTTGTGTTTTCAACGTAAGACATTTTTCCCCACAAGGTATTACGTCGTGTAAAGACATTACGCGCATGTACGCACGGATGAATGATATTACACAGTGAGGTAAGGTACACGTGTACGCGTGGGTAGTCACTATTTTTGTTTTTTTTTAATTCAATTTTTTAATTTTTTATTACAAACTTTTTTTATATCAGAAATCGTTAAAGACTTCTTTATATATCTTACATAACCGTATACGTCTAGAAAATTGTACTTTTATGTGAATAATAAAAAAATTAAACAACAAGAGTCATGAAATGGGAAGTGTTTGGAAATTTGGTGAGTTACGTTAGTAACAAACAACTTAACAATTATTCAACAACACTTATATTTTTAACACGTATATTTTTAAATATAAGTCTGATAAACCTTTTCTTTTTTGTTCCTTCCGACCCGTCAACAAATTATTTTCCCGGTGACGGTTTTTATCATTATATAGGATATTATCTAAATATAACATTATGCAATGTCACTATTATAAAGTGTTATTTTTTTAAACTATACCTTTATCGGTGCAAACATGTAGTAACACAAAATATAGAAAATAGTCTGGCAATATCTGATTGCTCGTGCAATTGATACTATACGACAATGTAATGCGGATTGACTTACACAATATAATGGACGTGGTGTACCTATGGCGTACAATATAAGAAAAGGTATACCTTGTACAATAATAAGGCGAACGACAGTTTTCCAATAAGGAAGTGTCGTATCGGTCACGTAACGCGTGTTGTACTATTATTATTATAGGAGTTTTGAGTATCCTTAGCAATATTTCCCTCTAGGTGACTACGTCGAACACAACGACAGGAAATAAGGTAAAGCACGCACACTGTGGCCGATATCAATGACAACGGCATTTCTATTTCTATGTGCCACTAAAATCTTATACAAGGACCTTAAGTATAGGTCATAATAATATATACCATACGAATAAATAAAATAATAATATATATATATATATAGAGAGTGGTGAGTGCATACCCAAAGTTATTTTCTTTGGACGAAAACCCAGAACAATACAATGTATAAATTATATTATAATATAACGCGTGTAGAGATATCGAAGGATTCGTGTATGTAATAACGTCCATGCTAATGACGTCACGAGCGTGTGTATGGATTTCATTGTTTCAATGCTCTTCGGAGGAAGGTCATTCACCGGTCTTTGTCCGTTGCCAACCATATTTTATTTATTATTATATTGAGCTTCACGATTATACCGGAATACAATTTAATATAGTGTTTAATTATCCCCTATTTGTCTCTATAGATTCTATAATATAATAACGCCTGTCGGTGGTTTTCTGTGCGATCTGCCCATTAATAAAACGGTTCAGGCAACTGTGTTGCTACCTAACTTGTACAGGTACGGCTTTCCGTGTTTTGGTAAACTTGCTGGAGTATAACTCTGTACTTAAGGTTTCCCCTTTGTCTCATGTGACGTGTCAGAGATTAGAAATTGGACATCGGATGATTTGTCTTATTCGGACACTAGATAGACATCATTCTCCATCCCTCATGAGCTACTGACCGTTGTTTTGAGCTTAGCTTCAGTACCGTTAGCCGAGTATTTCAGCATTATCAGTTTTCTGGCCTAACAGCTGGTGTAACATACATGTTTTCTACATACTGACAGAATACGAGAGTACGGAAGTGCTAGGAAGTTAAATAGGGTGCTATAGTGAGAGACACCGGTAAGAAATAATAGGTAGATTTTAAACAAAATAAATATTACTAAATGTTTAGGTATAATTATGTGAATGCTAAATACTTGATGAACATGTGATAAATAATGTTCAGAAATTTGAATATTTGGATTTAGTTTTTAGGTAAATATAGTTGTTATGTGTGCGCAAATTTCCTAGTAAACATAAAACTAATATATAAATTTTAAAATTGAGTGTATTAAAACTCTAAAACCTTACACAGATTAAATACATAAAACATTTTCCTTCGTCCTTTAAAACGCTTAAGACATTCTGTTGGTTTAATTGTAATGTCTTGCACAGGTTTAAAAATTGTGTGCTACTCTTTCAATAATTATCATAAAGAAAACTATCAATTAATGAATTAAAATAAGGATTTTAAAATTATATTTAGTGTTCATCACTACAATCTACATTAGCTAGTAAGCTTTTCAACTTTTTTTTAGTTCGGTTGAGGATATAAAAAAAGTGTACGGCTAATGTAGTTACAAATTTTAATTTATTTAGGCGGAAATCGGGATATAACTTTTGGCAGCCAACAAAAATATTGATAACGCTCGAGGGTCGTTTTGGTGGAAAACGGAAACTTTCGGTTGATTTTGCAGGGAAAAAATGTTAACCCAAAATACAAATCTAAATATAAAAAAATTATATAAAAATATAAATGTAAGATAGCTATAGACTATAGTTGTATAAAATATAGGTTGATATTACAAAATGAGTAGATAGTAACATACCTAATGATAAGATAAAACATAAAATGTAAAATTAATTAAATCTTGCACGGTATTGTGTTTTAATAATCCTAAAAACCCTGTATCGTATAAAATTAACAAAATGTCATGCCACAAGTTACTGATAATAATCAATGTGTTTCAGTTACACAGTGGAAGGTACTACTTGAAATTCAGACACGTCTATTCATAAATCGTCATTGACTGTTCATAAATTCCAAGTTTTTTCAAAGAGGTTCACCCTTATATTATATACATATGCGTACAAAAAAGGTCAAGGGAGATGATACCCCTCCGTCGGTGCACAAGTACACTACTATTTCCATGCGTGTGGTGTAATAAAAATATTTTATTATTCAAATTGGCTCTCCGCCATCGCCGTTCCACGACATTTGAGAAGTTTGGCTTCCGAAGCCATGGAATATAATATATTTGTGCGTGTGTGTGTACTTTTATTTATTTTCTATCTGAAATCCGAGTATGTGGGTCACGTATGCCGTCGAATTGTGTCAAGTCAATTCCCCCTGCAGCACCTCCCACCCTCATTCTACATTAAATGTGGCCGGAGTCTCGCGGATTTGGGTAAAATCTCAATTACTGTGATAAAAAAAAGTACTAATTATTATCGCTAATTGACACCGTTGTGCATAAAACATGACCGGTTCATCGTGAAGATTTAACGGTGCAATCTTAAATGTTATTTTGTACACATCGTTTAACCATCAGGTTAGTTGACTACTCGGCCGCCCTTTGGTGCAATATAAATAAATTAAATAATATGTAAAATACACTCCTTCTTTTTCTTTTGGCATTTAAAAAAAAACTTAAAGAAATCTCATTTTTTTTTTGGAAAATAATTACTATTTAAGACTGCAGCCCAATTTCCACGTTTTAAAATGGAAATCCCACAAATGTGTTATCTCACCCAGAATCGATTAGTCAGACTTGTAATAGCCAATATCTTATTGCTAGCAATTAATCGTTAATACTATGTTAAAGAAAAAGTAACTTTAATAGTATGGAAATTAACTTTATTAACTATACTTTTAAAGTTAAAATTCTGGAAAATAATTAATGTTATTTTTATGCGGATATCCGTTTAAGGACTAAACACTGAAATAAAATAAACCACTGAGACGACCGTCGAGTATTTAAAAACAAAATCTTTTAACTTTTCTAGAAACAAAGAAATTTATATAAACACTGTCGAAACCCATCAAGAATATTATACGGTTTTCTCGGTAGTCAAATCCGTCCGCAAAATCAACATTGTGATTGTATGCAAACTATTCAAAAGCTTCGACGCGCGCTCGAGGGTTCTTCTTAAAGTTTTTTTGTCTGCGTTCGCATTTATAACAATGACTTTTTAAATTGAATATGAACTTCTTCCCAGAGTTTGTTTAACTGGAGATCTATTGTCTTGGATGTTTTACTGATGGACAGGGTGAGTTATTAAGGGGAAGTTAATAAAGTTTGTGTACAGCACAGCCCTCGTCGATTGCCCTATAAACTGACATATTATTATTAGAATGTTGCTTTTACTGATGTAGGTAGGTTCTCGATCTCTAATAACAGTAATGGGCAATGCCGATTGTGGAAAAATGTTGTATATATTTTATACGGAATATACCCTAACGTCGTAGACAAATCTGTTTTTAAAATAGTTTTTTCTTAACGTTTTCCTTAAGTCAACGTCACCGCGCTAGTTCCAAGAATTACTTTAATTTTAATACAGCATCGATCGATCCGTCTATACGACCGTCATATTAACAGGGTAATAATTATTGTCTGTTCTACTTTAGGTATGATAAAGTCTTGAGTTATCACCGGTTTTGCCCTATCGCACGCATCTAGCAGTAGTTTCCGCGTCGATTTTGAGAATCATATAGTTTCCGCATCAGAGTATATTAATTATTATATATGCTAAGTACTCTTGACGTTCAATAACGTATGATTGTTTACATATATGTACATGCAATATTAATTATAATAATATATTATATAATAATAATAATTATCAATCGATTGACGCGCCGTGCCGATGCTTATATTGATCTTTTTTCACCAACGGCGACCTTCTTCATTCATAATTATACACAAAGCATATTATATTGTTTGCATACCCAATGACACTGACGGTCTTATATTTCTAACGTAATAGTGTGTCTTAATATTGTTTTGTTTGTTATTTGTTATTTATTATTTTTTTGTTTTTGAAGGACGTTCAAAATTCTGCTGACGCCAGACGACAAACTGTTTGCTGATGATGTGGTGTTCGAAGGTGCCGGAGATCGGCCAATACCGTTTGACCCGGGCAAAGCTTATACTGGATACTTGGAAGGTATACATAATACAAATACATATGTACTTAAAAAACGTTGACGTACACCAGTTTCAACATTTTTGTAGTCGTCGGCTACGCTTGTTTTTCGTTTGGAGCTATCAAACTATAAGAAATTGACTTCACGAATGACTAAATACGTACAAACAAAATACTTATATAGAGTTAAATATTAGTAATGAAGATCGAAGGGGATGGAGGTGAACAAATTGTGATGTCAGAAGAGCATATGATATACAAGGAGTAGTTTGTAAGATGCAACAATAGTGAACAAATTATAGTAATAGTCAATAGATTGGTTGGACTTGGGCATGTTGAAGAGATGAGAAAAAACAAAACAAGTAAGAGAGATTGGAGTAGAGATATATTACAGAGGTAGACAGAAAAAGAAGTTTATGGAAATGAAGTTGTTTGGTGGAGATCGAAAATTGATAATAAGTAGAGAAGAAATGTGGAGAAAGAATATCAGAATGAACGACCACACGGAGGTGGAATTTTGCACTTTTGAAACAGCTAAAAATACAAATGAACATTTTCAATTGACTTTTTGGGTTCATATCATAAACAATCATTGAAAACTGTAAAATAATGCATTTTGTTGTATATTTTGTGATCATAACCACACATCTTTCACAGATATTTAGTCTGATTCAGTAGTTTTATTATTTGTCATTGGTAGGCAATTTAGTTTATTAATTCTGTATGGAGTTTAGGAAAAGAAGATTTATTTTGGAACACATTTGCCGTATGCGTTTCGCTGCTTATTATAATGTAAAATATGTTTGGAGGGATAGTTAAACAAATCAACACACTATTGTGTATAGGTAGCTTACGAAAAGGCGTGAAGAGTTTATCAGAGTAAACCTAATTTATTATTGTCTTATAAAACATTATTCGATTTTAGTTGACGTTTGCTTTCGTATATGCATGTTCTTATGCAGTTGAGTTAAATTGTTTTCATCTAACGCCAAATACTTACGAGGCATATTTTTGTTTGTTTTTCGTTTACAAAAGAAAATGTACAGAAGCGCGTCTTTGTTTGGTTGATTTAAAGAAATCCAACAACTGCCTAGCATTCTAGATAAAGCAATAATAATATACTTATCCATACGCCCTCGGGTTCAGTATTTTGTTTGTGTGAAATACTGTATGCCTAAACAAATGTATGTGTTATTTGTTTTTAGTAAGAATGCTATTTCTCTTTCATAAAAATAGTAGTATTTTTTCGCCGAGTCCAATAACTTTTTTTTGACAACGCTATTATTTTGCACGAGTAATATGAAATGCATGAGTAATATTTACATTAAAAAAAATTAATATGTCTGAAAAAACATTTGTTTAATTTGTTTGCGACTTGTATTACAATTTACAAGTAGGTATGTCTATTTTTTACCTATATTGTACTACATAATTTCAATCCCGTATTCTCAAAAACTTTTTTCGGCTACATTAGAAGATTGGGTAGCATAAACCCCTCCTCGGGCCTCTCACTTGTCTTGTTCAGTGTGTTGGTGTTCAAATATGTGGGACGACCGGGATCGTATGAATTTACTGTGTTAATTAAGTTTTTTCAAGTGTATAAACAATTCTCTAACTAAATTATAACGTTTTAGACTTTTTAATCTTAAGGCCTCCGGTTGTATAAGGTAAATATAATGCATTTATTTATAACGGGATTCGAGTAAAACTTTTATAGAGAAACTTATTTTAAGAATACAATTGTAGAAACATTGTTTGAATATGCAATTACTAAATATGTTTATCTACTCAGCTAAATTAAATAAATTGTATTTGGTCACTCCACATATCCTTTTAAACATTCTCGTTTCAGCTTATTTAATTGTTCTTTGATTAAATACCCAACGACCAACACTCACTTTTATACTTTACTGATGGCCTCACTACAGTTGTGTATACATTTTAACACTGAAATACTTCTAAAAAAGTAGTGTTCTATGGTTTTTATGGTTGTGTAGTAAACGTTGTGTATTAATTTTTGTTATATAGGTATTGTAATTTGTAATACCGGCGAGGGCATTCCTTTGCCAGATAACGTAAAATTTGTGTGAGTTGCAACAACTCTATGTTAATAGCTGGTTATTACTTATTTATATTTTCTGTTTAAGTAAATTTTTGGTTGTTGCCTCATGCCTGTTGTACAACTTTTCGATCGCATCACCTAGCGCTACGTGAAATAAACTTTTCAAGGCATTCTAATATGAAGTTTTAATTCGGTAGAAGGTGAATGGGTTCTTATATACCGCTACTTGCAAAGTTTGCTTTAAACTTTATAGCTAAGGAATATACTAACGGCGCGGCGGTCGCCTGGGGATATTTTTAAGGGATATTTTGTACTCTCTTTATGTACTGAATTATCGTTGATCTGCAAAACGATCATAAATACATAAATAAATAATAACGATAAAAATAGGCGAATTCAATTTTTCTGGGATCCGTTTCAAAGCTTTACGGTTAAATAAAAAAAAATAAATGTGTATTTTCCCACTTCATTTGCACAACATTTTACTGACAATATACAATATTGTTTTACGTAATTATAATTTGAAAGTTCTCTATTAATAAAAAACCTATTTTTGTTCAATTAAAATTGTTAAGTCAGACGTACTCGGCCTTAAAAACTAATCGAAGAAATCTCAGATTTTCGGTTTGGGAAACTGGCTGGCAGCCCGTGAAAAATACATTTTTCTCCCTTCACATCTCGCCTGGCCTAAATAGTCGGTATCGTTTAAAATACAAATAGCACGCCGAATTTTATCAGATATTTCATCGAGTATTGGCTCTCCCTCGTTCTGCGGCTTATTTATACAATGTATAATAAGAATATTATTCTCCCCCCCTCCCAAAAAAAAAAAAATATTTTCTTGTTTATGGTGCCATTGATTCCGAATTCCGCGCCTGACGATTTTATTATGATACAAACGAACGTTTTTCGATCCAACCGTTGATTTCGGTTCATGTATTTCATAACTTTACTGCGAAGAATTTCAAATATGAACGTTTTTCTCGTGTAATTATCCTGTTTATCGCTTAATATCTTTATTTGCCAAAGGGACTACAATATATATACAGTTCACAAAAACGGATCGGTATTGATTTTCAAACCGCAATTTTAGTTTCGAGTTACCCAAGGGTGATCCCAGACACATTAGGTTTTAGATCTCACTTTACACGCTCTACTGACGTATTTAAATGGAATTTTAAACGATGGGAAATACAAATTCGAGAAATGTATTAGTTTAAATATTATAATATTAATATCCTATAATAGATTAACACGTGGTAAAAAGTATACCTCTACAGCCCTGAAGATAGAAAATTAAAGGCTTCCAAAACGTTGGCAAAGCCAATTAGTAATTATAGGTGTAACCGTGTAAACCATGTAAAATAGTACAAACAAATTTCTGTCAACTAAATGTGTATTGCTAACTAAACATTTAGTTGACCCAACTCTTTATATTAACTATAATTATAGTAGATACAACTATATATTTATTTTCAGTCTAAAATGTATTTTTAATGCTTAAGAAGTAAACCGTATCAATTTTGGACTGAGCAAAACCATTAGGGAATAAAACGAATTTGAGCTCGACGTAATAAAGCATCGATCGAACAGTAAATTTGATCTTTGTGAATACATTTTAATAAATTTATAAGTACATGAAAGAGTATCATGTTAATTCTATGTATAAAATATGTATCATAAGTTTATAACAGGGGTTTCTCCCTTCGTACACGTTGCCATTAGTTCAGCACATATTGCTACGTTATGGGTGTACCTTCCTTTGTTTAAAACTTTATAATATTATTAGTCCTGTGATGTACCTATCTATTTTGGGAAACGCACGCGCCTTCTGTCCTAACGGACGATCGACACACCGAGAGTAGGCGGGTTTAACGATATCGTGAACCCGAATTAACTCATATACATTCGTGCACATACAGAAAATACGAAACAATACGGGTTGAACCCATTTTACGGTTAACTGAAAACCTAATGTGTAATAATAATTAACGTACCATGTCTGAAACAAAAAGGTATGGTTTTTTATAAGAAAAAAGTTTATGATCCCGTTGTCGAGAGAAACTAATTTGTAAAGAAAAACAAATAAGGCGTTTTATTTATGTTTAGTCTTAGGTTTGTTTAGTTTTTCAACAAGCGTAATATAATACTTCTTATAATTAAAAAGTAAAAACCATTGTTGGATAAAATATCTAAATTTTTTTTAGTAATTTTACATTTAACAAAATTACATTGTACCCATAATTGATATATAGTAGTCTTTATTAAATATTAATTATATAGAACTTGTCTATTTAATAGTGACATTGTTAATTTACTTTTAAAACAATTTTTTTTTTTTAATCGCCTCGTAGCAAAACAGTTATCGCTATTACTGCCTTATTGTTTCAATGTAAATACATGTCATAATAAAGTCTTTGGACCATCAAAGCTTCTAGGTGTTAGCGATAATGTTTTTTCCCTCGAAATCCGAGCTATTTCTACTTGGCTTTCGAGTCTTCTAATGATCATAGATAATGTGATTTGGTCGTAATGGATGTATTTTTTGTTCAATAAATCTCCGATACTAACTCCGTTTAGTAATTGTGTCTGTGAAGTAAATTAATGAATTCAGCAAAATCTGGCCCAGTCTTAATGAAATAGCTAAATCGATGGGGTTTTCACTCCTTAAAATCCATCCAAGTGAAACCCATCTATCACGCTGTCATGTTCATGAGTGTAATGGTGTACCTAAATCGAATGCGAACCTTGGGTCGCAAAAGTTTGTTTTTAATCTGTTTAACCTCGTTGATTTGGTTAAACACGTGTAATAACCTGAAACGTTGAATTATTAATTGTGACAAATTATTTTAAAATGTTATTAGTTCAAATTCATACGACTTAAACGTAACTGACTCTGAACTCGCGCTTGACTTTAATTTTAATTGTATAAAACTATGATTACAATTTGTTTGTTTTTTAAGTTTTGTTTCTAACACTATTCGATAATAGATGGATACAAATAAAATCGAGCTACATTATAATACCACTACAATTGTTGTGATACTGAGCTAAATTTGGATACAAGTTTTTAATTTGTGCCACGTAAAATAAATGAAAGGATAAACGGCATTTATTAAACATATCTTCTCCGGAGAAGAAATTTATAAAACTTTCAACGTAATTTTGTTTATTATAGCAAAAGTTTGATTAAAATATGTTGATTTCATCCCATTATACAGATCGATCCGATGATACAATTTCAATAGTGAAAATAAACAAAATGTTTAAAAGAGATTTTGGAAAAACTTTGTGTCAATTGAAACTGAATAGCCCGAAAGTTAATTAGACTAACGTATTGTTGATTGCCGACGTTTGCATAATCGTATCATTATATACTTGGCGGTAGCTTTGTCAGTATAAATTGTGTCTGTTAGTGCGGGTTTTTTTTGCGGATTACAGCATCGAGAAAATCAAATCGGTTATGCAACGGTACAGCCGTACAGTGAATTTCCCAAAGTTTTCAAATTATAATACTCAGTTTAACCATGAAGAGAACCGTTTCCGAAAATATAGACCGGAACCCGGCGCGTTGATATTCTGCTGACGACAGAAACGCTGGGCCATAATCATCAATATATACGCTGGTAAAGCTGTTTGATCGGTTTGGGTCGGATACTTAAAAACTACTTTTCATTCACGGTCAATTGTTCCGCTGGTTGATAATACTTATTTTTGAATTCGAACATTTTCTTAGTTTTGCGTCCGCCAAAAAATAAATCAATTACCGTCAAACACTTTTAGCGTGCCGCATTTAATTATTATATCGACCAAACAAAACAGAACTCTAAAACGAACAATACAATTGTTATTGTCGAAAAACATACATATCCGACCAAATTGGTAAAGCCGTAATTAAGCGCACAGGCGTATACAAACAATAATAGGCGTCTGAAATCAAAGGAAAGCTTTACACTACTTGTGGAAGACAATGCCATACTACATGACAGCGTGCGGTGGACAGCGGTAAACGATAATAGAATAGAATATATTTTAGCCCTTATTGTTTATCCGTACAGCGGGTTTTAGTAAAACGAAAATAAAATCGATTTTTGCTAAAGTTGTGTCGCAAAAGTAGTCAAGTTGTCGAAATATAGGGGAAACTTTCTATGGTCGTCGACAATAAACCAAAACATATGTGCAGAAATTCTGCACGAACCACGTTTTGTTAGGAGCAAACGGGGTCATTGTTGTTTTATCCGTATAAAACAAAATAACAGTATAAACGACGAGGGATACCATCGAAACGATACACAACAATTTATAATCGAAGCTAAAACAAATATACAACTTAAATTAATGAATAAGTTGTATGCTGGTAATATATAAACTACTGTATAAACTGAAATTCAATCATTTACTACTACCTACCTGCCTGACTAGGTTCAAGTCATTATTTGTTTGTTTCTCATCTTTTAATTATATTTTCCTTTTCTTAGTGGCGGATTGAGAATCAATCTAGGTAATGTTCGACTCGTGATTTTTAATTTAAAAATTTGGGTCTCACCTAGATTTTATTTTATCCCAATCTTTTCGCTTAGCATTTTCAGCTCACATTTTCTATCTATATCTATTCCTCACTGTTGTCTTCTACTACACCAACGTAATATTCTCTACTCATCCACTATTTTATCTTCCTCAACCATCATCTTCCCCCGTTTCTACTTGCTATTGATCGCTGAATAAAACCTCAATAGGTGAGCAGTACGGAAAATTGGACCTCTTAAAACATACTTTGAATATTAAGATCTCCGTTCCATAGAGATCGTCTGCACGAATACGTCTTTGTTGAGCATTGTAACTACAAAAATAAGGTTACTACTGAAAAATATTCCAAATAGATTTATCCGAAAGTTCATAATATAGAAAACGTGTCGATTAATACAAACGAAATCATCTTTTATAGATATGAGTTATATTTTTAGATTATGACTGTTGTGTCTAACATCACATTTTTGTTTATGGGTCAAATTTTAATAATAAAAAAAACGCATAATTTTGTATAAATAATTAATGTACTTGGCATCGAGATTATATCTACGGCCCACTTGTAGTACTAACTGTTATATAATAATAATAAAAAACGCAAATTCCATTTATGTACATTTGCAAAAATTGTAGGATTGACTCGTGGAGTTTTCCATATTAAATTTTACTACTATGGTTGTGTACGTTCGAAAGACGGTATAAATATTAACTAAATGTCATCGCGAATGCTTACATTTGCTAAAAACATAGCATATTAAATATTCAAAACGAAATTTTTGTATAATATTTATTATTATACAATCATTTACTATAAAAGTTTAATATTCGCAAATTGTAATATTTTTTTTATCCTAAGAGCATGTATACCGTTCTACTGGTGTATTTTTTTACTTCTTGGAAGTCAATTTATATAATTCCTTTTTATTATTTATTTATAGTACTTAGAAGTGATCCCCTGAACGCTTTAAAGTTCATATCTTCATAATTCATCAAACGAGGATTGAATTGCATTATTTATGACATTATAAAATGTTTAAATGTTAGTACTCAGTAGGCTTAAGTATATTGTTTTTGTTTTTAGTGAATTGCGTTTTTAAATTGAGCCCTGTCGGCGAATAAGTCCGTTGTTGATCGTTAGAAAACTCGATTTGTCTTTATCTTAAAAAAATACGGACTAAACATAGTCCGTATTTTTTTAAGATATATATTATATATATTATATGTACGGATAATTTGTTTAACTCAATACTTTTTATTATAATAAGTGATATTTCCTTGATATTTCTACTTTTATAAAAAAAAAATCTCATCTCATTAGGGCTTATAATAAAATATTTCTGTTTTTTTTACTTAACAACCATTTACAGTGAGCTAACGAAGTATTTTCGTTGGGTATAATAAATAAAAACAGCAGTTGTGTGTCTGTTTAAGGAAACTAGTTTGAAACTTACATTTATCGAATGGATCAATTAGTGTTTAAGTGTGTGTATGTGGGACTGGTATTTCCGTGCCTTAACGTAACATCTATTTTGCGTACCCGAGAATTAAGATGCGTACTAAGTATTCGTCTTGCCTACAGCCCCGCTCGTAACATTGTAAATGGCAAATGCACTATAATTATTTGAGTTTTCTTCAGGGAAGGTTGACCACAAACTTTTGTCGTTATCACAGTTGCAAGTGAAAAGAGCTCGAAATTTGTTTAACATGTTTTTTGATATGACAGATGGTGTATAATCATAGTGCGTCATAATTTAACTCAGCATTAGAGATTTTATGTATCTCATAAAACTGTTAAGTCTATAAAATGTTAGAAATTTTAAAACTCTTATAAAATCAAATTTGTATAAATAAAAAAATATAATTTCCAAAATTAATTGTTCAGTTTAAACATAAATTACATCTCTTTCTAATTAAAATATTTCCTTATGGTTACGCCATTGTTTGGGTTCAAACATTTCTCAATGTCTACTACAAAGTACATCACGAAGACCGCAATACTCTAAGCGAAAACGCCTCCAAACGATCACGGCTCAATGAATTATTTACGTTTACAGAAATGCCAACTAAGTGCGCGCGGCTTATTAAATAATAGTTATGTGTAAATCACCTAATTGTTGTACGTTTCAAATAAACGTATTACTCCGTACACCTACTTGCAAATGCGGCCAGTATTTCATTAAAATGTATGATGGCTATGTTTCGTATAATGCAGGCTTATGGGTATTGTATAAAGTTGAATAATCGCAATATTATGTTAAATATTATCTGCCGCGCTTTGTATTTTCAAGAACGGAACACATGCTTGAAACATTGTGTTATTTTCATATTCGCATAATTTATTAGTCGATGCAAATATTCTGTGAAGTTATACTCGTTACCTTTTGGATTCTATTCGAGCATATAATTACATTTATTGGTAGTCGGTCATTACATTATAATATACTGTGAAGCATCATGCTGGGCGCTCTACTACGTAGAATAATAATGAATTTGTTACATGTAAGAGAGCGTGAGGATGTGATAATAATAATTATTGTTCGTTTCTGTTAAATTCCATGTCTGCGCGCGACTGTTTTTAATCTAATTAAAAGTAAAGTGACAAACTACCAAGTATTATTAATACTATTATAAACATTCTACGTTCATACATTTATATCTATAAAAGGTAATTCATAACTGAAAGTTGATGAACATGTACATTAAATTGGCTCACAGTTTGTGATTAGACGGTTAGTACAAATATGCTTTAATGTAAATTATACAAATACACTATGTGCTCGCTGTAAGACAGCAACAAATTCTTAAAAGTACCTGGGTGGAACTTGATGTACTATAAGTCAAAATGTTGTGCTTGATAATCAGGATCTAGGAACGACGAGTATATTAGAAGTATTTCAAGATTTCCGACAAAAGCGAAGAAAAAAAAGTATATTAAATAAGTGGATATATTCGAAGATACAGGGAACGCAGCGAGACGCTTAATTGCTTTGAAAATAAGACTGACTTTTTAGTTAGACTAAAACGAAAAGAAAATTATTTGTAAAAAAATACACTATGAAAATGTTTTGTAATTGCATGGTTTTTTTTGCTTTTGTTCTTAGACGATGAGAGAACCAGCGTGAAGGGAGTAGTTACTGCGGACGGGTTGTTCGACGGCACGATCAGCACGTCCACCGAAGAGTACTTTGTGGAACCGTCGTCGCGGTTCGTCGATCACGGCCCCGTTTTGCCGTATCACAGCATCGTGTACCGAATGTCGGACGTGGCGCGACCCAAATCGACCGGGTGTCGTTCGGAGGAGCTGCACAAACTCCGCCGGCGGAGACGTCGGTCCGTCGACGACGGTTTCGACTATATGGACGACGGGTCCGTCGAAAACAACGTTGCCGGCGCCGACCGTTTGGTCAACCAGACCTACGACACAGAGGGCGTGATCCTGATCAGATCGCCAAATGGCACCATCGTCAACCGGAGTCGGCAGTCGTCCACGAGCAGCAGCAAGACTTCGGCGCCCAAACCCAACTGGTACGACCCGACTGACCAACGAAAGGTGTTGGTCGCTGTGGCCGGAGACGAGGCCAGCAGCAATCTGGTGGTGGACGACGGTAGCTACGACCCGTTCGAGACCAGGAAGAAAGGCCTAAGTCCGTTCGTGGACAATCGCAAGACGACATGCATGCTTTACTTGCAAGCCGACCATCTGTTTTTCGAGAAGTATGGCAGGGAAGAGACGTGCATAGAAGTCATGACAAGACACGTGCAGAGGGTGAACGCCATCTACAGAAACACCGGTAAGTGTGAATACTTGTATTATTTTATTAAAAAAACCGGTAGGTAAGACTAACGACGCATAATAGACTTCTCGAGTTTGAAAAAGAAAAAACCTCTGAACTATGGAAAAAGAAAGAATACTAAAGTCAAAGTTACGTCGAATAAGAGAAAAAAAATGACGTCATAATGAATTTAATAATAATAATAATGTACGATTCTAACAATTTCAGTTACATTAATTTATTGCCTTCTTCCATAACTTGCCGCTAAATTTCATATTAGAAGCAACGGGCCTTTCAGTGAGCAAATATCTGTTCGAAGACAATATTGATTTATAGGTTTGTTGATAAGACAGTGGTGTTTGTTCGATATCTACGGTTAATTAATAAAACTTAAAGCACGTGTAGTTACTAGTTTATTGACTCTTATTAAGTACGCGATTAAAAATATGATACAAAAAATGTTATGTAAGCATAAGAATAATATTTTTTGTGATTGTGAAATTTCGACGAAAAACCCTTTCGTGTAATATACCCATGTATTTGTCATTCTAATATATGGAATATATTTTTAAGGTAGATTGAAAAGAATTATCACGTTTTTATACCACCCCTATTTTTTCTTTTTTTAATGATATGTAAATAATACTATATTGTGCAATTTTATTATAATTTTGTTTAAAAAACATCCACAAAAATATATTTTATTATTTAAAGCATCTAGCGTTGCACTATATTATTTATATATTTATCTTCCTAATTGTTAACCAAATTTGTTTAATATCTATCTGGTATTCAACTAAACATTTTCTCTCTGTACAGTAGTGTGTGTGCTCAGATAGTACTCGGAAAAATAATTTTGTTGTCCTCGAAGTTCTAAAATAATCAGTCGCTGTACGGTTCTTCGTATTGAAAATAACATATCAATGTTACTGATTTTTATAAATATATTTTCTGTTCAGTTTTGAACTCTGAAATGTTATTTTTATTTCCAAATGAAGCTATTAAACTGCATTTTAAGAAAGTATTTTTGTATCCTATAAATAAAGTACATTATAATTGTTTTCATGAGAAAACGCCTACGACTTGAATGATAAAATGACATAATATTACAAATTATAATTGTAAATTTTAACCAGTTACCTACCACCGTCCTGAAAGGTTATGATCATATTGTTAAATGCTAATGTGTGTTAGCTTTTACTTTCTCAGATAGTTCTTTTTTTATAATTGACTTTATCCGTTTTGATATTAAATTTTTGTGTACACATTTATAATATTTTGTATGCCTGTTGTAATTGAAGGGGTCCGTGCAAAAACGAGACAACTCCATTTTTTTTAACTTTTCAAGAAACAAAAAAAACTATTTTAAAAATATTGAGTTTAAGGTAAAATTAATGTTAATATATATTAGACCATAATGAAAAAGATGACGTAGTACGTGATTTGATTAAGATTTATGATTTGAGATGTGAGCTAAAATTAACCCAAAATTGTTGGAGCTATCTTGTTTTTTGACCCGAACTTTGTATTTATTATTTCAATTTTTTTTTTATCAAAAAATTATTAATATTATTTATTCTTACTTTAAGACAACTGATTTTAGTGTAGACAACATTCGGCGCAAAAACCAGATAACTCCGGAGCTATCTGGTTTTTCAATGGAAAAAAAACCAGACAGCTCCAGTTCCATTATATTTCCTATACCGGTGGTCGGATTTGTCTCGTTCTTACACAGATATACTCGTCAAATTTTTCTTAATTAGAAACGGCCAAAAACCCATTTTCGCCAAAATTGGAGTTGTCTCGTTTTTGCATGGACCCCTTCAATTTGGCTCATACGCCGACAACTGTTTGTACATACATTTTTATGGAGATGAATGGATACAGATGTGATAATACGTTGGTTCTGTTTTGCGTGTATTATAATAGTCGATTGTTACAATGTATACCAACGACGGCAATGTTTAGGTTGAGACAGTTAATAATAAAAAGGAGGACATCGTCCCGACGGATTTATGAATAGCGTGTATTAAGTGTAGGTATAATGACACACTTCGTATAGCTTTTTATCTGAACGTATAAATTAATTATATTGACTAATGTCGACGTTAATTTATCATTTTACGAATGCAAGTTGCTCGTTTAGTGTAAAATTATTAACATACATGACGTGTGTACATATCATGGCTATTATATATCTAACTAATACTTTAAAATATTATGCATACTAGTATACTACTAACCAACCTAGTCTAAACCAACACACATTTGAAGGGCACAGGAGAAAAACGGTAGTAGTCACATTATGAAATTTTTTTTTTCAAAAAGTTTTTTTAATTATGCCATTCATTTTTTTTATTTATGTTAATAGATTGTTTAAATAAATACATTTATTATTAGAATAGCATTTAATGTGATTTATTTTTTTCTGGTGTAAGAAGGAGAGGAATTCATGAACTTTGTTTTTGCTATACTCTAAAATTTTCGTAATGTGACAACTACCGTTTTTCCCCAGTGCCCTTCAGTTATATTAGATTTATTGAAATATGTCTTTGACGGATCTATATCTATAGTTTTACAAAATGGCCTTTATTAATCAAAACAACTATCTTAATTTTATTTGAATTTTCGATTAAGCTGTACTCGCATTCAAATCTTAGAAAATTGTAGTTTGATTCTGAACAAAATACAATTTTTAAAATTAAACTCTGACAATGGACGGACACCGTGACAGGCTGATATAAAAATCAAATACTAAACAAAAACTTGTCCTTACTTCAATGAGAAATTATGATTGTAAGTTGCAACTTTCAATATAGTTTTTAATAATGAATACCAAGTACTTATTTAAAGTTAAGTTGTGCTTCGATGTAAAATATAAAACATTGGAGTATACCTAAAGTTTTTTCAACCATTAGCTATGCGTGTTTTCGACACAAACATTTTATTATAAAAACATAACATTTAAAAATATTTTTAAAGAAATGTCTTCTGTAGTTAAAACTAAAACGTATTATGAGGGATTTTGAATGGAAAACAATCTGTATTAAAAGCGCTTTTTCAGTTTTTAATGAGTTTGTTCTAATTAAACTTGCAAATGTGTTGGCGTTGTGTATGTAACGATTTTTTTTTTCGTCTCGTTAATTTGAATTAAAATGTAATGAACTGTAACGATTTCGTAACGGTAATTTTTGTTTTATCCAACGCCATTCGCAACTTTTTGTTTTTTTGACACAATCAACTCGAAGTTTCTATTAATTGTAAAGTCAATCATTTAAATAATACACTAATTGTTTTTATCAGTTGTACATGTTTAGTACAAGCTTTTTTTTTATTAAAGATTAATTAATAACCTTTATTCCTTTCTACTATTCTAATAGCGGATACTTCAAACTAATGATTTATTAGTTACTAGGTTGATAATTACATTTTATTTATTTACGAATAAAATGTTGTTAACCTGGTTACATAATTTTACTGATATAACTGTTTGATCTTGGTAATACTCAAAAAACACACACCTTAATTGATAAAGTATTTTGATCGACATAATATTTATATATTTTTTTAGAGGAACTTGTCAGTTGTGTGGCACCTAGTTTTTTTGCTGCCTAACACTATTATAGGATAATAAAGTAGGCCGTCACTAATGGAAATAATGAAACACATTTGTGAAATCAAAAAAATGTATTTAAATTATACGGACTCGTTTTGTATTTTAATTCGCTTTTTGTTGTTTTGCTCCTAACGACCCTAATACAACGCAAACGTCAGTGTAATAATTACGGGAAGTAATATATTTTAAGTTTTTTAGAGAATAATTGTTATATCTTTAAGAAAATTTACTTTTTTAATGTTTTAGCACAAAGGCATGTTCACATAACTTCATTGTGTGAAAATAACATATTTTTTTTTTTAAATAAATTTCGTTAAGTGTCATGAATGGGTGGCTTCTTTTATCAAGTATTTATGTTTTATTATTATTTTAGCTAATACTCTTATTGTACCTATTTGGAACTGATTGTGTATATATTAATAAAGAAAAAAATAAATTTCGTTTTATTAGTTAGTAAAATGTTACTTAAATAAAACACTAAATAGTTAAAGTTGGAGAAACTTACATAATAATTGGTAATAACAATAAATTCGTATCTACTAACTATTTTAAATTCTATCTATTTAGTGCCTCCCCTTATTTAATTACAAATGACTTATTTTGGAAGTTAGACCTAAGGTTATATTTCATCCAACTAATATGAATAATTTTGTATAGTACCTTTTTTTATGCTTATTTTCATTTCTTGGTAAAAATAATGAAGTTAGCTACCGACACAATAACACGCTAAAAAACCTTAAATGGGTTTTAGATTGATTTGTTATGTAGCGTCAAAGAATAGCTTTGTCTGAATATATTATTGGCACTGAAAATATCTATTAAGAAGGATTCATACGTGTACGGACGACGACAAGTTTGATTAATAATTCTTTTTTGGGCGACAGGGCGGCACCTTAAAAGCAATCCAAACTAAACGGCATTTAACCCTCCCCCGCGTTAGGTCCTACACGGTGCGATCTTTTTGCTCGTCACGTTTCGGCCAACAAAGGCAAACACCAGGGGAGGGAAAGGGCACAACGACGGGATAAGGGGTGACAGACTTTTCGTGACGACAGCAAGAGGAAGGGGATCCTATTTATCCTTTTAAGTCTGTCTCTTTTTTTTTAATGTGTACACAAATGCGCGTGTGCGCTCGCTTTGATTAATGTAGGATGGACTACCCCCTATGCCTTTATACAATAAGTATATATAGCATTTATGCTTATATAGTTGTATACATAGCAATATTTCAGTCTCTCAATTTACTTCCTTTATATTATAAACAGTGTATAAATATTGACTTTGTACGAGATGTTCAGGTTTAGATTATTTTGATCTTTTATCCCATTAATGCCGAAGCTCTGGTGTACATTTAAATTAACATTTCAAAAGTTTTTTATTTTAATAAAAAGAAAACTTATAA